TCAACAATCCACTCAAGTCTAAATAGCAAGCCCAAGCCCAATCCACTCAATCAGCAACCCACCCAGCAAGAATTTCACGCTCGCTGCTACTCACGCCAGAATCAGCCGCGACCCTCACCTGACCTCAGCCGAAAGTCCACGCTCCTCCAGAAATCGCCGACAGCCCCGCCAACTCCTTCAGAAATCGCCGGCAGTCTCACCAGAATCAGCCGACAGCCTCAACTTCCCCAGAAATCGCCGGCAGCTCCAAAGTCTCCACGCCGACAGCCTCAAGAAAAAATTCCGGTAAGAGTAACCTTTCTACCCTCAACAGAACTTTTGCTACCCTACCCTCAACAAAAACTACCGAATAGCAGTTTAGAACCCTCTCCAAAATTATCGACAACTCCCCTGAAGTCACCGACCGCCAAAGAGACCAATTGCTCAGTCCCGACCCAACTCAAAAAACTCGTATCACAACCCTAATTTAGATGATTTAGGCTCTGATACCATGTCAATTGTATTGAATACCTCTCAATGTGAGGGTTCTTCCTATTATATAGAACAATTGCAAGAATAAATAAGGCAATTAAAATCTACCTATTAATTACAAGATACTATACAAAAACATACCATAACTAGAGAAACTAATTATGGCTAAATATACAAAATATATATGCTATATCTGATTGACACTATGGTCCATTTTTTGTTGAAGGGCGTGTGGACCCAGCGGCCTACCGGTTGTCGCTTCCAGCAACCAGCCGAATCCACCCTGTTTTCCATGTGTCGCAACTACGCCGGGTTGTCGGAGATCATCCCATTGAAACAGAACTACCGGAGAGTTTGGAGGTTCCTATGGGGCCGGTGGGTTTGAACCTGCTACTGTTTTGGCATGGCGTAAGGTGCAGGAAAAAGGGGAAGATGTGGAACAGGTGTTGGTGTAGTGGGTTGGTCAGTCAGAAGATGACGCTAGTTGGGTTGGAGTGAAGCAGTTTCAGCAGCAGTTCCCTCACTTCAACCTTGAGGACAAGGTTGCTTCGGAGGGGGAGGAAATTGTTAGGGAGCACAAGATAAGTGGGCCTGCTTGGGAGCACCAGACAAGTGGGCCGGTGCAGGAGGACAGGCCTCGGCCGTTATTGGTCTACCGTCGCCGCCAGCGGGCCTAGATGGGCTGGGTGGATTGTTGGGTCTTATTACTTTATTTCATTAATTGTTATTTCTAATAATGTGTTGGGCCTAGATGGCCTTATTTTATTATTAGGTTAAGGAGTATTTAAGGATGTCTTAAGAACTATTATCGTTAATAAACTTTTGGTTAAGCTTACGGCTTGGGCAGACGTTGTTATCGTTTGCTAGGTTTTCTGCTTCTATCAGAGTACTATTCTTCTTACTCGATCCCCCACTTAGATCGTAGCGTAGCCGCATAGGCACAAGTACTCAAGTAGCCTAGGACCCAGTCTGCTGCCTTTCGAAGCATGGAGTGTGTTTATTGTTGCAACAAATGTTTTTTTTTTCAACTCCATTCAGGGGAGGTGGGGGGATGAAATCAATGGACCCACCCTCACTGGAAAAATACGAGTACACAGCGATGGATGGACGCACGCAGGCGCATGCACACACACACGCACCCACGCACGCACGCGCCCGCGCTGTTGTGAAACAGAAAAAAAACAAAAATCAACGGGGTAAACCGTTGCCCAGATAATCAACGATAAAAATACCGTTGCCCAGAGCCAAAAGGCTAAAACCAATTTTATTCCAAGATAATAAGAATGAACCCTGGCGAGGGGTATAAATAGCCTTCTACAAGAAACCCTAATAAAGCCCAAATTAATTAAACCCTAATTAAGCCCAAATTAACTCAACTAACTACTCTACTAATAATAGGCCCAAACTAAAACATAACATTAACTTAATAATAATAATTAAACTATAACGACAGCCCTAACCCGCCCCACGGAAGTGGGCCCAAGCCCGGTCCCGTCCCATGCTCTTCCCGCTCTCTATCAATCCATCCTCCTTCAAAATAATTGTCCTCAAGGTTGAAATCTCACAGACGCTGAAATTTCCATACATAGAATAGAGTGGGAAATATCCCTCCTCTCTTTCCTGAACCCTTTCCTAGCCGGTTATTTCATAGTATTCATGCTGTTGGAGGTCCAACTCTTCATCCTCGGCTATCATTACTCGTAGCTGCTTAAAGGGACAGTCATGCCCCGATGTAAATGATTTTTACACCTAAAGCATAATCCTTTCGCCCTTAATTCTGCGAACTCCTTTGACGGAAGACGAGTGAACTGAGAGTGTGTCGTAGGCTGCCCGGACAGCCCTGACTTCGTCCCCAGAGGCTGTCCACTATCCTTCGCAAAACTGCCCATTGATCCCTGCAAGCTGCCACCACTGGCAGTCAACGGAGGGCCAGTGTTTGCCATTAAAAAGCTGCTGGAACGTACCCCTGAAGAATTATAATTCGGACTGCCACTTCCTCCACTTTGGACGGACAGATTATGCTCCACATCGCGAGCTAATTCCATGGCCGTCTCCAGGTTTTCTGGCCGGAGTAATCGCAACGAACTTCGGATTGCTTCCTTAAGTCCACTCATGTAATAGCCCAAATAATGATCGTCGGTCAATCCCGGAACTTGACTAGCCAGTTGAACAAACAAGGTATTGTATTCCTCCACCGACCCAATTTGTTTGACAGCGGTCAGCCGTTCAAACCTATTTCCCTGAAATCGGGAATCAAATATGGCCACCAAGGCTTGCTTAAATTTCTCCCAAGACATGCTAGGTTTGCGCGCCTTCAACCAAGTCACCCAATAGAGGGCCGCCCCTTCCATAGAAACCCTAGCCGCTGCAACTTGTCGGTCCGGTGGGGTGCTGTTGAGCTCGAACTGTTGCTCCACTCTTGCCAGCCACCCAATGGGGTCTTCGCCATCGAACGAGGGAAGGAGAGCGGTGGCTGCGCTGGGCAGTCCGCCGTCGTTGGCCGCTGGTACGGTCGCACTTCCGACCGCAGCCGAGAAAATCCTGCAATATCGGCGGCAGGTTGTCGGTGATAGGTGCTGTCACGGCAGCACTTCCAACCGCAGCAGTAGAAATTTCCGGCGAGATCGGCGGCACAAGGGCCTGGGTAAGCGCTGCCAGAGAGGCGGCGATTTCAGCCAGTCGCATGCCGTGTTCTTCAAGGGTGTGATTCATCCGATTCTGCTCAATCGCCATTCGGGTTTGCTCTTCCCTCAATCGGGCTTGCTCCTCTCCCATTCGGTGTTGCTCGGTCTCTAACTCAGTCAATCGATCGTTTTGAGATCTCGCCATCCTGGCGGGACGGGATCCGGCAGGTCAGACCAATTGTTGTGAAACAGAAAAAAATAAAAATCAACGGGGTAAACCGTTGCCCAGAGCCAAAAGGCTAAAACCAATTTTATTCCAAGATAATAAGAATGAACCCTAACGAGGGGTATAAATAGCCTTCTACAAGAAACCCTAATCAAGCCCAAACTAATTAAACCCTAATTAAGCCCAAATTAACCCAACTAACTACTCTACTAATAATAGGCCCAAACTAAAACATAACATTAACTTAATAATAATAATTAAACTATAACGACAACCCTAACCTGGCCCACATAAGTGGGCCCAAGCACGGTCCCGCCCCATGCTCTTCCTGCTCTCTATCACGCGCACACACACATACATACATAAATAAATAAATAAATAAATAAATAAATAAATAAATAAATAAATAAATAAATAAATAAATAAATAAATAAATAAATAAATAAATAAATAAATAAATAAATAAATAAATAAATAAATAAATAAATAAATAAATAAATAAATAAATAAATAAATAAATAAATAAATAAAAATAAATAATGATGAGATAAAAATAAATGAATAGTAGAGTAGTAGTAATATTTATAACATATAACTAGTTCGAGGTACCCATCCAAAGGGAAAATAAACCTTCGTAGGAAGTTAGAACAAAATTTATACCTACTGTAGTCTCCAATGTTGTCTATAACCAGGGGCGGAGGCAGGACACTGGGCCGGACTGGGCCGGTAAAAAGAATATTTTTGGGGAAAAAATTACACGGAATTTCTTACCCTAAAAATCGACATTTTAAAAATTTGGGGTGGGCCGGGGCCAGGGTTGCCCCCTAGCTACGCCCCTTTCTAGACATATCCTCGGTTTCCCGTTTAACCAAAACCGGTCTGCGGCCAAGGTTCCGAACCTACGGTTAAGGAGGCGGTTCGGTTTTGGGGATTTTTTAGAACCGGAACCGCAGGTTCTGGTTCAGAACCGACGGTTCCGGTTCGAAACCGGACGGTTCCGGTTCGGAACCGGAATTTTTTATGTTTTTTTAAAAGTTGATTTCAATAAGTTATAAACAATAAATTACAAAGATTCGTATGACATCTTTAATGTTTTTTATATCACAATGTATGTCTTTGATTCACAAAGTATTGTTCTTATATCTTAATGTTTAATTAAATACATATAAATATCCTAAATAAATATAGGGTTTTAATTTGATTCACCAAGATCAAATTTATTAAAAATAAATAAGTTACAAAGATTTGTATGACATCTTTAATTTTTTTTATATCGCAATGTATGTCTTTGATTCTCAAAGTATTGTTCTTATATCTTAATGAATTATTAAATACATATAAATATCCTAAATAAATAAAACAAAAACCGCCGAACCGGACCGGAACCGGAACCGGCGGTTCAGAACCGCTTGAGCCCTTCAAGGTTCCGGTTCAGGTTTGAGCATTTGGTGAACCGTGAACCGCCGGTTTGGTTCCGGTTCCGGTTCGGTTCCGAACCGGGGACAGGTCTACCCCTGTCTATAACTAAAACAAAAAATTATTTTTCTCACATTTTGAAATTGTTTTCTTTTGGGAATAAAGCTTGGATGTTGTTGTTTGAAATTGTTTTCCATGTATATATATAAAGAGAATACTTAATTGGTGATTAGCATATGTCAACAGCATATTCATGCACTTACTCGGCTTCCACTTCTATAAATGCCTTGGCATCTGTTGCTTGTTTCATCTTACCTGATGACAGAAAAAAAAGGCATAAGAAAAATGGTTTACAAATATTGAAAGCAGCTAATAACAATGCAGAACTCCTAGAAATTCATTATTCTTGTGAGTCTGGATAGATATAAGATATCTAAGAAAGCAATAGAAATATGAAAGAGAAGGAACGTATGAAGAAATCAATTAACTGTTATCACAAATGCAAAAGCAGCTAAAATTACTCTTACCTCTGTGTTTCCTCCTGGATACAACCCTGTTGGCTGTAAAACAAGAGCTAGCCCGTTTTTTGGGAGACATATTATTTTGTCTTGCACACTCTGGAGAAGTTTTCGTAAAAAAATCACCTAGCTTGCGTAGCCTTCTAAGTTTGTTCTTTTCACAAACTCTTTCTGGCAAGTGTTGAGATTCCAAAAGCCAGTCTTTGCTGCAGGTTGGGCTTGACAGCTTTGCAAAAGGAGTTCGATTACCACAAATAATGATTGAATGGGAAGACGTGGGAGCTCTTGCTCCAACCTCTTTTTGTAAAGGAGTTATAGTTTTAACAATGTGTGAAGGAAGACTTTCTTCCCCACCAGTACAACAATGGACAGCCTGTTTATCGTGCTTCAAGGGCCCCATTATGCTTTCAGAACTCAGCTTCTTTCCTTCATCCTTCTCTCTCTCTGTTAAAAAACTCGTAGACTTAACTTTCAGCATATGGATTGTATCGGACATTCGGGCAAAACTATACTAAAAAGAGATATGCTAACCTGGACTGCTTCTGGGAGACTCTGGAACAACACCACTCATGATAAAATTGGTTAGCCGTGGACTATGTGCCTCCACATCTTCGGAGTCAGAGCTCAATTCTTCATTTAGTGACACGTCTGTACTATCTGTTATTATTGCTTCAGGATGCTCCCCAACACTAACATCTTTTGATTCCACCTGGGAAAAAGGAGTTTCAGGAACTCTTTCTGATTGGGAACCATCTTCTTGACATTCATCCACATCATTGCATAATCTGGATACCACCATAACATCTTCTGTTGACAGCTTTGACGGCAAGGCAGCAGCATCCACGCATTTAGACTCAGAAGCTGCTTTGGTTGAAAGTTGTGGGACCGATGAGACTAGGACATTTCCTAGATTATCAACCTTCACAAGCTCTGACTCGAATAGAGACAGATGGGCATGGGAAGTCCTCCCAGTAAATTCATTCACAGAAGTCATTGTTTCAGCTATTGTTTTCACGGGAGCAGGAGACTTAACATTTTCTAATAATTCTCTCCCACAATCCTCTTTAGGCGAACAGCTGAACGTCTTCAGATCTAAACCCAGAAAATGCAAGTAACCTTAAGTCAATTGACTAAAACAGTGCAAATTCTCCCTTTCTTTTTTCCTTTTGTGATGTGCACATGTCAAAAGGAGAGAACACATAAGACATGATCTGATGTACTAGTCGCCTCCCATATATGATATATCAGTCATTTAAACATAAACTACTGATGGTATACTGATGACATAAACTACAGAGCAGAATAGATCATATTTGCAGCCTCAGGCATGCCTAATTTTATGTTGATTTATTCATTTTGACCTTTGGAAAGTCAAATTGAGTGTTACATGCCTACTGGCTATCCCGGAACAAGCCTCATTAAATCATTTTGCAATTAAGTGTAAAAATAATTACATTATAAATTGCCCAGATCATTCTGCTTATAAGGAATTAGTGATAACCTTGGTAACTTCAATTGGTTTGGTGAAACATCCTAGTAGAAATGATAGTATTTCAATCATGGACACCAGTAAATAAGGGGCAAAAAACTTCATGAAACAATATATAAACTAAGACTCTAAGAGATAAGGCTGCAAATGTAGTTCTCCGCTTCTCCCTCTGATCACTTGTGAGAAAGCTCATTACAGTCTCATGATATTTTCCATGCAAAGTTATAAATACATAAATAGACAATGTTGGTTTTAGAATTTCAACCACTCCAGTGTACTTGAGACGAAGGTGTTGCTGATAATACAGCTTGCAAGTATTGGAAGTTAGGTTATTAAATACTAGGATTATTAGGTTTCATGACACTTTATGATATGGAGGAACCAAGGAAGCATTTCACAGGAATGAATTCATGGATGTAAAAAGTTGAGTGCTTTACAATTGCAATGTTTTGGGCCTTCCCATCAACCCACCTCAAATTAAACACCAAGGATCCCACACGAAATAGTTATATCGCACCATCTTAATGCTGTGTAGTAAAGATTAAAGAACTTATACAGAAAAAAAAAATTGTTGGGTTTACCTTCACCATTTTCATATGGTTCTGCAGCTTCGCCATTTTCATATAGTTGTGCAGCTTTAAAATCTTCATATGTTTCTGCAGCTTCACCATTTTCATATGCTTCTGCAGTTTCACCTCTCGTACACAGATCTCTAGAAGTTTCAGCCTGAAGCAAAGGAACTATATCATGACATTCTTCTACAAATAAGGAAGTTCTATCAAGGTTCAAGAATAAACCTGGCTTGAAGCTTTGATATCACCGGAACATGATAAACCTTCCAAATGCTGCATTGCATCTATTAGCATCTCCGTTCTAAGTGAGTGTGATACGCTATGGACCCTAGACGGAAATGCCTGGAAATGACGGAATGCAATTAATGACGGCCTCCACAAGCTCTCTCCATTGCTGCTGAAATATTTTGCAAGCAAATTGATTTCTTTGTCACTAAGTTCATTTTGCAGTACAGGACTCTGAACATGGAGGACATCTTTTGACTTCTTTCCACGAGGAACAAATGCTTCGATCAAAAGCTTAACATGTTGAACTTCTGGTCTGATGGCATGTGGAATCTAAAAAAGATTTACACAATTGACATTTCCAATGAAGAAATTATAAATGAAAATGATTTTATGAAACTAATCAACAAACTTAATAGACAGAGGTATACCATCCTAGGGCTGGAATGAAACCTAAATGTATTTGTTCCCCCATTTGCCATAAGTTTTCCTAACACCTTGTTTGTTGCTTGTTTTCGCAGAAATCCTTTGAGTTCTGGCCCTTCACAAGCTAAAACCAGTAGCAACAGTCAAGGAAATTTAGGTCATATACAGTATACACCTACATTTCTATAAACACATGGGAAAGTTTGTATTATGCTGGGCTAGAGGACCAAAGGATATCAACTCGTCCTTCATGCTTTCTCCCTGTCCTCCCCATCCGCTGAGTCATTCTCAATGGAGAGAGATTAGAATCAAAACAAATAACTAGATCAACTTCCATTATATCTAGGCCTTCTTCTCCAATCGATGTTGCAACAATGACATTATACCCACCAGCTCGAAATTTCTGCTTGCAACAGTCAATTGATATCTGTGAGATGATCCCTAAAGATGACACTAAGATGAGATAAGAAATGCAGCAGGAAAAATAATCACCTCAAGAACAGCCTGTTGAACTTTTTGTGACTGACCCTTTAATGTTTTTCCTGTGAAACGATCGAGTAAATTTTATTAGGCAGACCTCAGTTCCTTTAATAATGAGTATACTTTCAATTCACTTGAATTTCTCAGCATTGCAGCGAGTTCACCAAATCAACTAATAGAATGCAAGATGTAGTCTTTTCAAATTGCTACCAACTAACCATTTCAAAATAACAAACCCATCAATGAATCATTGAATCCTATGATCAACCAATGAAGCTCAGATCATGAAATGTGAAGCGCATGCTTTAGTCCCTACCTACAACATCTTCTGTTTTCTGCTATCTCGTATAGGTGTGTTCAATTCAAAAACGTGGATCTTCATATTTCGCTAAAGATGGTTTTGCTGGAAAATTTTATATCATTGATACACTGCCGTCTCACTATGATGTCTTTAATCAAATTAACTCAAACAAGGGAATGATATTTCCCTGTACATCAAAATTTCAAATGTATAAAATTTGGCCATAAATTGCCTTGGTGCATGAAGAAAATAAAATATGGGAGATTAAATTGTGCATTAAGAGATTAACCTACAGTCAATGGCTTCTGGTGATTAAACCAATCACGTTATGATCTAAAGTTAAACAAACAAAGAGCGCACAGTTCATCTTTTCAAACAATACATCTGCAGCAATTCCAGTACTATGCTAAAATCAATTAAGTCTGGTTTCTAGAATGATATAAAGCCCTAAAATATTATGTTGTATTGGGAAGTCAGACCATGATAAAATCTGAAAGGAGAAAATAGCAATCAAAATGAGAAACAAAGTGCAGCCCGTATTCTAATAGTAATAAAAGGTTAGTTACAGATATAGGCAATGCTGCATTGCTGCTACACTATTAATTTACCCTGATATCTATGTGTTGTACATGACAGCAAGAACAATACCCATAAATCCAATTAATCCATATGTTGAAAGTACCCTAAAAGCCTTGTGTTGGGCATTGTTGGGAAAAAGTATAACTAATGTATGTCATGTACTAATCGATTAAACTTTTCACTGAGGCAGAACATAAACTTCAATATGATATAGAGCAAGCAAAAGCTCCTAGGTTCACACCACATAAACTACATAAAATCAAAATACTCCAACGTGAATGGCTCACCCAAAAAAATATTGCAAACACAGGAAGGAATGTGTTAACTGTTAATGATAAATATACTGTTGAGATAAACATTGTTGTTTGATAAATATATAGCATACACACATTAGAGTTTTCACAAGTCACTAAAACAAAATAAAAGTTTACTTAAAATCGAGTGCAACTACAAAAAAACACCTGAGTTTTGCCCTACGAATTCAGTTGCCTTTATAGACGGTCCAATGTTTGCAATTGCGTCCATAATGTCCCTAAAGCAGATTAAGACAATTCAGGCCATGAAAGACGTATGTTTTTGCAATGTACAATAAGACCAGCATATAAAGTACAAACTTTAAGAGGGGGGTCCCTTTTACCTGACGCTTCCTCTGAAATTTGAAAAAATGATAACCCTTGAATTTTGGGGATCATTCATTTCTGCATGAGCATATACGCAGGTCAGCTACTCCTTAAAGCAACATTAGAACATTCAAAGCAACATTAAAAATAATAAAACCAACTCTATTATATATGTTGGGTAGAAATGAAGGAAAATTATGCAATGAATAAAACTATGTCTTCATCCCAAAGAACTCGCCTCACCACAGTTGATACAGTAGTAGAACGCTCTCCGCCTCTCCCCCCATATATAGGGGGGGGGGGGGGGGGGTTCTCGTGAGGACCCCTTTCAACATGAGAACATATTTATAAATGAGAACTTTTAATCTACACCTTTCAAATTTCTTATCAATGGCTGAAATTAACAAGGAGTCATTTTTGTAATTATAACACAATAAATAAAAAAGACCTCATTTGAATTTGGAATAATTACAAAAAACATCATGTGTGTGCTAACCATTGATAAAAGAAAATGGAAGGTTGAGACTAAATATTCCCATTAAGGAGTTCTCATTTTAAAATGACTTTTCACTAGAACCCTCCATTGTGGGTGTGTGGCGCGCGCTCATACATAAATACATATCAGACACTTTAAAAGCATAATGCATAAAGTGCCTGACATACTACTTAGTTATTTCCAGAGATGCAAAAGAAACTTTATCTTAGTTTCTTTATTACTTTTATGATTTATGGCTTTATTAGTAATTTAGTATTAACACTGCAAGTCGTGTTAGACCCAAATTCTCAGTGAATATTAACAGCTTAAAAAGAATAGTGTGTGTGTGTATTGGTGCATAATAATAATATAACATAATATAATATAATATAATATAATATAATATAATATAATATAATATAATATAATATAATATAATATAATATAATATAATATAATATAATATAATATAATATAATATAATATAATATAATATAATATAATATAATATAATATAATATAATATAATATAATATAATATAATATAATATAATATAATATAATATAATATAATATAATATAATATAATATAATATAATATAATATAATATAATATAATATAATATAATATAATATAATATAATATAATATAATATAATATAATATAATATAATATAATATAATATAATATAATATAATATAATATAATATAATATAATATAATATAATATAATATAATATAATATAATATAATATAATATAATATAATATAATATAATATAATATAATATAATATAATATAATATAATATAATATAATATAATATAATATAATATAATATAATATAATATAATATAATATAATATAATATAATATAATATAATATAATATAATATAATATAATATAATATAATATAATATAATATAATATAATATAATATAATATAATATAATATAATATAATATAATATAATATAATATAATATAATATAATATAATATAATATAATATAATATAATATAATATAATATAATATAATATAATATAATATAATATAAAGCAATGCACAAAAAGCAGTCAACAAAAATAAAGAGAAATGAATTATTAATAAACAGGAACCAACGCCCAAGATGCATACTGAAATGATCAATTAGTATTTCCAGCATTTTTGACAGTTTTGGATTAGGAGCTCCATGATCTACAGTTTTCTGCATTAGAAGTTTTGCTTTCAAAAGATCTTCGTTTCTACTCACTAGTCGAGCAAACTGCCTGAAAATAAAAGCTATAGGTTCAGCGAGCTGATAAGAAACTTTTAGAACACATTTATTCTTTGAGAAGAAGAATATTGAAATACAACTTTAACACTCTTTATTCTTGCACGAAATCAGAGCAATTAGCTAGTAATAAACCAGAGAAATTTGAATATGCATGTGACCAATTAGCTAGGCAATGCAGGTATAATTATTTGCAACATAGGTACTTCAGAAATTTGTTTACGTGTTGATTATATTTTGTATGAGAGGCAACACTGCGACATAACTGAGAGTAGATTAAAAATGACATAACCTTGACTAGAATAATTCTGAAACATAAATAGTGGAAAACAAACCCCTGTCGCAGCTTTTCATCAAGCATCTCAAATGCAGGCCTTATTCCATGGCTTGAGAGTAGTTTCCGAAGATGATAAAGTGTCAAAAGGACTCCAAAGTATCCTTCCACATCTCCATACTTTACTTGAGGAATGTTCTTTGGTGGGTCTCTACGGAATCTGGCCCGTGCATCAAGTATGTCACACGGGTTGAACTGATCATCATAAAAGAAAAATAATGATTTGTACATAAAATACAATCTATTTCAAAATCATGGCAAGACAAAAAAAATCAAGGCAAGACAAAAAAAACAATCCAAATTCATCGTAAGCACAAGTAGGGAAGTAAAGAAAGCCAGGCCAAAAGAAGATAGCAGGAAGGATAGACATGTAAGTGCAAATTTTACATGCATAAACGTAGAAAAATATAAATATATGCATATGCATACATATGTGTGTCTATGTGTGTACACATTTATATGTTTTTTAACTACAAATTAGATGCTCCCATATTTCAGTATAATCATTAAGTCTTTAAAAATGAGGTGAAATAATCATAACCCTTGCAAATCGGGAAACGAAGTAGGTAAAATTTGATGGGAAAGAGTTATAAGTAAGCCAACGTGTCAACTACCTGAAATCTTGTTAAAAAGAAAAATCAACATTTGAATATGTGAGTCATGTGACATGTAGGATAAGTGCTGGTAGGCTAAATGGAAAGGAGCATTAGGAATACTATGTGGTCATAATGTACCCCTAACACTAACAGGCAAATTTTGTAGAGTGCTCTAAGACGGACTTTACTATACAAATGAGAAATTCTGATGGCTGGATAAAAAAGAAAAAATTAATGAAGGTGAGTGTAGCAGAGACTGAGAGATGCATATAGTAAGACTTAAGAGATTTTGTGTATCGCCTAAATTAACCCCTACCCATCCGTCTAGTGAATCACCTAACTTATCCCAGTTGGCCGCCTAGCCCGCCTACTGCCTAATAACCGCCAATTTACAAAATTGTCTAGGTCTGCCTTCGAAAACTTTTACAATACAAGGGGGCTTGGTGCATCATAATAGGAAATAGGGAAAGGGCGGCAGATTAATGAATAAAAGTGTATTTTGATCCATTTAGAATAGAAGCATTTCCCTTATCCAAATCCAAAAGTTTTTTAGGGAGGTTGGGTTGGAGGGGATTTTTGAAATATTTTCCACTCCCATTTTTCTACCCATAGTTTAAAAAAAACACATGTGTGTACATACACAAGAGGGCAGGGGAGCACGTTCTCTGTTCTCTGTTCCAACCAAACGCTGTGTACAGCTTTCTTTTTTATATCAAACTTGAATAGTTGGGATAATAAGACACATACTCTCTGAAAATCTCTATTCTGAAGTAATCCCAACACCGAAAGCCGTCCAGCAAATGGCCTTATTACATCTGACAGCAGATTATTAATTTCATCAGCATCTTGTCCCATGGCAACCTAGAATCATATGACAGAAAAACATTGCCTTTATGTTCTGATACTCAAAGTAGAGAATATAGGACTACAAACACACAAAGTAAAGAAAAAACTTTATATAAACCAAAAAATTATGTACCTTTACATGTTCTATCTTCCGGTCATGCACATGAGGGAGCACATCTCGGTCATTTTCATCACGATATTCTAGTGTAGTTATTTGTAAATTATCAATAATATGTTGGACATCCTGCTGTTTAGCTGAATATTAGAGATTATCAGAGAAGGCAAGGTAAAAAGAGAAAAAAATGTTCCAGCATGGAGAACCTCTTAAGTGATAAGATACTTACATCCTGGTGTTGCACTTAGAGCCAAAATTCTGAGTTGTACAGGAACAGCCATCAACTAAAACATCATTAAAAACAAAACAGATTTATCTGTCAAACTAAAGAAGATCAAAATACATTTTCAATAAAGAGTCTAATGCTAGAAACATGCCAGGAAATATATACATATATTTGTGTGTTTGTTCAGATTCCTCTGTAACAGTGGTACATGAAAACCAAATCTTCACTCAACAACTAACAAATAATATCAAAATCCATAAAATGTAGGTACAAAATTTTTTAATCCTTTATATTCTTTTTACAATTATTGCAGGGGAATGTGCACCTCCAGGCTCCATCCGTCCCTCTATATATGTGTGTGGTTTTGCATGTGTGTTGTGTTGTGTGTGTGTGAGAGAGAGAGGGACAGAGAGAGTCATAGAAGAGAAAATCAAGACAAACCTCACGAACTACTACACAATAAGAGTAATTCCCAGTAGCACGATGAGCCTCATCAATCACCAAGCAAACTAGATGTTTCACCATGCATATACCTGAAAATTCATTAGTCAGAAAAATGAAAAATATCTACTTGGAAGATAAAGATGAGTTTAATCACAATAAATTCCGTGAAGAAGAATAGTTTACAGCATTGCAAATTAAAAAAGAACAAGTGAAGTTTATAAGCATCAAGGTACAATTATCATGTTCCAATCAAACAGTACAATAAACGAAGTTCTATACTTCTACCTTAAGCATTTAAAGTGTAGAAAAATGTAGCATATACATGTTATTTTTATTATTTGTACATCCGGGACTGTATAGATAGGAATTAGAGTTGATATAGGTCTCTAATTCTTAGATTAGCTCGCAGAATAGATAGAATAGATAGATCCTACTTTTTAGGATCTGTAACAACTTAACTTTATCTGTAACTTGTATATATATCATTGCCGGATGGCTCAATAATATACAAGGAAGATTAATTCTTCAGACTTACATGGTATCAGAGTCTTGTTGTTTAAAACACCACAATGGTGGACACTGAACACTCTGATTCCTCCACCCACTCACAAACCCATCACCCTAACTCCCAAATTAGCCAAATGACAAATTACCAGGCCTCGGTTAATTCATCTATGCTCATTACTGGACATAGATTGAATGGAACCAATTACCTAGAGTGGTCACAGTCTGTCAAACTGGCAATAGATGGAAGAGGAAAGTTGGGATACATAACGGGTGAAGTAGAGGAGAAGAAGAATGGTGAAGATGGCTACAATGTCTGGAGGTCAGAAAACTCTTTGGTAACAGCCTGGCTTCTCAGTTCAATGGATGCATCAATCGCCAAACCTCACATGTTCATGAAAACTGCAAAAGAGGTATGGGATTCAATTAAAGAAACCTATTCAGATCTTGAGAATTCTTCTCAGATCTATGAATTAAAAACAAGGTTGTGGCAGTCCAAACAAGGAAGTAGAGATGTCATCTCATACTATAATGAGATGGTATCTCTATGGCAAGAGTTGGACCAATGCTATGATGCTGAAGACTGGGAAAATGCCAAGGATCTGGCAAGACACAAGAAGAGAGAGGAAAATGACAGGGTCTATATGTTCCTAGCAGGAATGAATAGAGACCTAGATGAAGTAAAAGGCAGAATACTTGGGAAGAAACCTCTGGCCTCAATCAGAGAGGTCTTTTCTGAGATCAGGTTGGAAGATAGCAGGAGGAGGGTCATGTACAACACTCCAGTACCTAATGAGGAACCTGGGGACTCTTCAGCTTTGGTGGCCAGAAGTGATGACAACAAGAAAAAACCTTGGTGTGATCACTGCAAGAAATTGTGGCACACAAGGGATACATGCTGGAAACTTCATGGAAAACCACCAGGAGCTGGAAAGAAGAAAGTAGAGAGGGCCCTACAAACTACTATGACTGAGACTCAACAAGAGTCAGGAGTTGAATCTAAACAGCTACCATTCACTCAGGAACAGATAGAGTACCTACTCAAATTCATACCCACCCAGAAAATCTCCGACCAAGAAAACCCTACCTGTTCTTTTGCCCAAAATGGTAAAATAACATCATTTTTTTTGTTCTGAAAAACAAAAAAAAACACCTGGGTCATTGACTCAGGTGCAACAGACCACATGACCTACATTCCAAAGTTTTTTTCTTCATATCAACCTTGTGCAGGAGATAAGAAAGTTAGAGTTGCAGATGGCTCTTTTTCAGCCATAGCGGGGATGGGAAATATTAAAATTTCCTCATCCATTAACCTTTCCAAAGTCTTACATGTTCCAAAACTTTCCTGCAATCTTATCTCTATTAGCAAAATAACCAAAGACCTTCAGTGTTGTGTAAAGTTTTCTCCCTCTTATTGCATTTTTCAGGATCTGGCATCAGGGAGGATGATTGGCAGTGCTAGAGAGGAGGATGGCCTCTATACTTTTGATGAAGGAACACAATTGAATAAACAAGGTCAAGAAAAAACTTGTCTGCAAACTATTTTCTTTCCTTGTAATAATGAAGTGTATTTAATGCACTATAGATTAGGTCACCCAAGTTTTTCTTATCTGAAAATGTTGTTTCCTAAGTTATTTCATAATAAAAATCCTTCATCATTTCATTGTGATATGTGTGCACTTGCCAAACATCATAGGAGTTCTTATATCCTTCATAGTTACAAGCCAACTAGTCCTTTTACTATTGTACACAGTGATATTTGGGGTGCATCTAGAGTTCCAACTCTGAAAGGAAAAAGGTGGTTTATAACTATCATAGATGATCACACACGGGTCACATGGGTTTTTTTACTTAAAGAAAAATATGAGGTTGAAGAAGTGTTCAAAAAATTTTACTCAATAATCCAGACTCAATTCAACACTAGTATCAAAATTGTGAGAAGTGATAATGGTCTTGAGTACTTTTCTAAGAAGTTAAATAATTTTTTTGCTGAAAAAGGAATTATTCATCAAAGTTCCTGTGTAAATACACCTGCTCAGAATGGAATAGCTGAAAGGAAAAATAGACATTTGCTTGAAGTCACTCGTGCAATCATGTTTTCTGCTAAAATTCCAAAATATTTATGGGAAGAAGCTGTTTTACATGTTACCTATTTAATTAATAGGATGCCATCAAAAACTCTAGGATTTAAAACTCCTATTGATACTCTTCAAGCCAGTTTTCCTGAAACTAGGCTTATTAATTCTCTTCCCATAAAAATTTTTGGCTGCACAGTTTTTATTACCAACCCCGACAGAACTGCAAGCAAATTTGATCCTAGAGGCAAAAAATGTGTTTTCTTAGGACTATCTTCAACACAGAAAGGCTATAAATGTTTTGACCCTATAACAAAAAAGATGTTTGTAACAATGAACACTGTTTTTGTTGAAAATCAAATTTTTTTTTGGTACTCATCTTCAGGGGGAGATTCCTAATGAAGATGGTGATAATGTGTCACATATCCATGAAAAACTTGAATCTCTTGACATTAGTCTAGATGCACAATATAATAGACAGTTAGATGCACTAGAAAATAGTCAAGAGTCAAAAGAAAATGAAATAAATTTTTCTGAAACAAGGAAAGATGATGAACAGCAGACAAGTAAGTTTTTTGGCAAGGCTTATGAAAGGAGAGTTCCAAATCAAAGAATAGAGGACATCCCTGATCCTGCCACTGCCCATGAATCTGACTCAATGTCAGAAAATGACAAAGGTAATAATTTCAGTGATCTAAATCTACCCATTCTCTCAGAAAAGAAAAGAGATCATGTGTTAAATACCCTATCTCAAACTATTTGTCCTATTCTCAGTTATCTACATCATTTGCAGCCTTTACCTCTAGTCTTTCCACTGTTTCTATTCCCTTAACCATACAGGAAGCTCTATCTATACATGAGTGGAAGAAGGCTGTTTTAGAAGAAATGAATGCTCTTGAAAAGAATCAGACATGGCAGGCTGTAGAAGTACCCAAAAACAAACCAACAGTGGGATGCAAATGGGTATTTACCCCTAAATTCAAGGCAGATGGTACACTTGAAAGATATAAGGCCAGATTGGTTGCCAAAGGATACACACAAACCTATGGCATAGATTATACAGAAACTTTTGCTCCAGTTGCAAAATTAAATACTATAAGGATCCTTCTATCTCTAGTTGCTAACCTAGACTGGCCTCTTCAACAGTTAGATGTGAAGAATGCTTTCTTAAATGGGAAGCTTGAAGAGGAAGTATACATGAGCCCCCCTCCTGGGTTTGAGGAACAATATGGCTCAAAGGTGTGCAAGCTGGAGAAAGCCTTATATGGACTTAAACAGTCCCCAAGGGCTTGGTTTGAAAGGTTTACTCAATTTATAAAGAAACAGGGATTCAAGCAAGCCCAAGCAGACCATACACTATTCATGAAATTCTCCATTAAGGGAGAGATTGCAGTACTAATTGTTTATGTGGATGATATCATTCTTACAGGAAACTATTGTAAAGAGATTGAAGACCTGAAGAAGAAGCTTGCTCAGGAATTTGAGATCAAAGACCTGGGAGAATTGAAGTACTTTCTTGGCATGGAGATAGCCAGATCAAAGAAGGGAATTGTGGTATACCAGAGGAAGTATGTACTAGACCTACTCCATGAAACAGGTATGAGTGCCTGCAGACCAATAGATACTCCAATTGACCCTAATCAAAGGTTAGGAAATGTCAAGGAAGGAGTACCAGTTAATATTCACCAATATCAAAGATTGGTGGGGAGGTTGATTTATCTGGCACATACAAGGCCAGATATTGCCTTTGCAGTCGGTATGGTTAGTCAATTCATGCATAATCCATTCCAGGAACATCTAGATGCTACCTACAGAATCCTAAGATATTTGAAAAGCTGTCCGGGGAAAGGATTATTTTTTAAAAGAAGTGACAATAGAAGTGTAGAAGCCTTTACAGATGCAGATTATGTTGGTTCAATAACTGATAGAAGGTCTACATCTGGGTATTGTACTTATGTATGGGGGAATCTAGTGACTTGGAGGAGTAAGAAGCAGAATGTGGTTGCTAGAAGTAGTGCAGAATCTGAATTCAGATCTATGGCTAATGGAATCTGTGAACTACTTTGGATCAAGAGAATGATGTCAGAGTTGAATATGGAAATGGAACTACCTATGAAGTTATATTGTGACAATAAAACAGCCATTAATATTGCTCACAATCTTGTGTTACATGATCGTACTAAACACATTGAAGTGGACAGGCATTTTATCAAAGAGAAGATTGAAGCTGGAATTGTGTGCACACCATTCATATCTACCGAAGAACAAACAGTTGATATCTTTACAAAGGGGCTGTTCAAACCAGTGTTTGAATTTCTTATAAGCAAGTTGGGAATGTATGATATATACTTACCAACTTGAGGGGGAGTGTAGAAAAATGTAGCATATACATGTTATTTTTATTATTTGTACATCCGGGACTGTATAGATAGGAATTAGAGTTGATATAGGTCTCTAATTCTTAGATTAGCTCGCAGAATAGATAGAATAGATAGATCCTACTTTTTAGGATCTGTAACAACTTAACTTTATCTGTAACTTGTATATATATCATTGCCGGATGGCTCAATAATATACAAGGAAGATTAATTCTTCAGACTTACATAAAGTTTGTTTTGCCCTTCGGCAACCCTGTCTAGTATCCTTATAAAGTCCTAGAAATGCAAGCCACACCCAAATTATGTGCATCTGACAATAGAAACCCGATATGCCTTTATCATTCCCCTCGTTAATAATAACAACATCATGGTCTAGATGCTAGACCGAAAGTATATTGGAGCAGATCCATAGTTCACATATATACGCCTTGGATTTTTGTATCTTGTCTTAATCACTTTCTTTGCAATAAAAAGGTTCTCCTGTCATTTCCTTAACTTGTAACATCTTAAAGAGGACAATGTAAAGAAAACAGGCTATTCGTTTTAGAATAAAGTTTGTCATTCAAACTTTAAGTTCCACAAATAGTTTAAACTTAAGCATATATCTGCAAAGTGGACACAATTATTCTTTTTATTTATTTATTCTTTTTATTTATTCTGAGTGTTTAATATCATGAATCAAATTTTAGAAACACAACCAGTGAAGTAAAACAAACCAGAAAGGATGTCCCTCTCCAGCACTTGCGGAGTAACAAAGAAAACTCGTTTTTCTTTCCAAAAGCTTTTTCTTCTAGTAGGACTGGTTTGACCTGTAAGATCAATTGCACACTCCTGCACTCCATTCAACAACAACTGTCTCAGATTTGGTAAATGCATGTAAACTGTTCTCTCCATAAATGACGAATTAGCAATACAAGTAAACAGAACACAAAAAGTGCTGGAAAGCAAGAGAACCACACCTGCGGTATATCTACAATGTTATGGCATGCTTCAATTTGTTGCATAACAAGTGGCTTAGAAGGAGCTGCAAAAACAATTTTTCCTGCCACGATGTAGCATAAAAACAAGTAAATATGTTATTGGCAAGTTTAAACAGTTTCCTTAATAGACAAAGTGAAGAGTTAAGACTTGAGTAGTTGAGTGTTAATAGAGGGTCATTATCTATGATCTTGACGTTAGTTCATTGTGTAGAAAACTAGAAACTGAAAGGATAAGTATGCAGTTTTAATGAATCCTAATAAACCTTTCAAATTTCATGCAAGTTATTTTAGTCATGGTATAAAGTACATATAGGTTTGAATCCAAAGCAATGCAATCATTTGAAACTCAGAAACTGCATGTGCTGCTGTGAGCTTTCTGCATGAATAGTTCTCTATTAGATTTATAATAAAAAAAATGCAACCAGTCCATTAATTCATCCATTTCAAAACTCTCAATGTAGTGATTTAGCTTTTTGGGAAACAGTAAAGCACTGTCCCATTAATTCATCCATTAATTCTTAAAAGTTGCACTGCAGCATAGTGGGTTAGAGACACTCAAACACACGCGCTAGTTGGGAAATAGTAATGCAGTACCTTCTGGAAACCACCTGAAATAATTGTACATTACAACAGCAGCAATGAATGTTTTTCCGAGTCCAGTGGGTAGTGCCACCAAGGTATTGGAAAATAGTGCGGTCCTCGTAATTTCAAACTGATAATCCCGACGGGGAAGGTTTGCTGCAATACAATTGAACAATGAAAAAAGTGGTCTTCTACTCTTCTATAAGCATAAGAAGTGATTCAGTCGTTAAAAAAATGATTGACAACAACTTCATATGTGATATATTACCCAAAGCAAATAAATTAACAACAAACTCTTCAGTGAGACATCACTTTATTCTCTGATTAGGCGCAAATTCAGGTATTGGTTGAACTAAGGAAGAAGCAAAAAATAGATTAATGATGGGAATAAAATGTGTGCATTGCTTTTGGAACGAAGAGTGTATAAATGTACATTTGACTTTTGACCCAATGGGAACATACTACCAACTACTGATACAGCATGCCCACACCGCCACGGTGATGTGGAACTGTGCAAACTGCAGAGCACAGACAGTGACCATCTTCCCGGTTCGATTACAACTAATTAACCACCCCTGCTTAGGCTTGTTAACGAGCTTATTGGCCAAATTCGAGATTAAAAGCCTCATTATGAGCCTTGTCCGACTCTATAATACCATCACAAGCATCCATCACCACCTAATAAGTGTCAGCCTTAGATATTAAAGTATTAAACTGGGCCTAGAAATGAAGATTAATAGAATATGCTCATAATTACTAAACCAAAATTTCAAGCTTGATGAGAAGCACTAAACTTAGCATAGTATATCACTTAATGCCAATTTCTTGTACTGGGCAACAATAGTACCGTTACCTGCAGCGTTTTGTGGAAGAAAAACAGCTATGTAATACAAACAAGCAGGAACAAACTCCTATGAAGAAAAAAGATTACCTTAACTAATAAACCTCAATTTTAGCTAAACCTTGATTTCAAAAATTAAATAGATGATAATTTCTACTCCACATTGTAAGAAAAACATATAAAAAGCAAAGAACCTGGATAAATCCAAGTTTTGGCGGCCTCTAGATCGAGTGGAACAAAGCAAACCCTTTCATCACCCTCATTATCAAAATCTTTCTCATTTATAATTCCAGAAAGGTTGGAACAGTGGGTATTGGGCTCTGCATTCTTAGCCATAGGCGAAAATCCCAGAAATTTATCAAGCGTCGACTGCCTGGCAGAAGCAGGAGCACCACCATTGGGTTTTGTAAGCGTTTTCTTGATTTGGGCGGAGGTCGAAACGCCATCAGAAGAAGAATACAAAGTCTCATTGACGGAGACAGCAGCCGCTGTGGCCTCACAAGCCACGTCGATCTCCCTCACAGCAGCTTCCCAGTCAAATCCCTGAAAATGAAGAAGAAACAAAGCTTTAGAGATAGAAATTAAAGAGTTAGTGAGTAGGCAAAAAACAGCGTTTAATACAAACAGGGTTTACATTATCGTCGTCGAAATTTTGCAGAGAAATGGACGATGAAGCCATGCACGGAGCGGCCGAGCGGGAAATCTTGGTGTGGAATGGCTAGAGGAGGGGTCTTCCACGGTTGGAAACTTTTAAGCGCCACTCCACTGATTTTAAGTTTGTATTTCTACTTTGTACACCGTTTCTACTCCTCCGAGTATTTGGGTGGATATACTCTGAGAGCACTTCTTTTCTTCCATAAGCAATTTTAAGCATTTTTAAAAATTGAATCTAATTATACTTCTTCTTAGAATTAAAATCAGTTTCAAACACTCCTTACATGTCTAGTTTTACACATTTTTTCTTTTAACACACTTTTACACATGTTTGTGAATTTTGTTTTTATGTGTGAATACATTGTTCACATACAAAACACTTTTTTTGTCTGTGAAACGTTATCCACAGACATAAAAACTTGACAAGCATGTGTAAAAGTGTGTAAACAGTAAAAGTGTGTACACAAGGTATTTTTCTTGTTTTATACTCCTTCCGTCTCATTGGACTTTGCCAACTTTCCTATTTTGGTTGTCCCTGAAAATTTTGACACTTTTCTATTAAATCAACTAATTTGTGATTCTGCACATTTCTCTCTCCTCTGCACAAATCTCAACCACACAGTTTTTACTATTCTTATTTATCACCTACTTTGCACTTGCCAAAGTTCACCGGGACGGAGGTAATACATAGTATAATAAAACACATTTATATACTAATAATGTGTCACCCCGCTACCAGCCACTACCGACCCCACCGCAAACCCCGACCTCACCCATACCCCGGGGTTGGGGTTAGGGGTACGCGTACGAGAGCCCCCCACATATTATATTATATTATATACTTGTGTACATAAATGTTTGTATGTATATATATATGTATATGGTTATTTTAGACACTTTAATGTTAAACGATATTTTAAATCATATAAAGTAAACATGAGTTTATAGCGCTGTTTATTTTACGCGCCGCTTATTAACGCAAATCTTAATAAGCATCGTTTAATAACTTGTGAAGTAAACGTGTGCTAGGACACGATAGTATGATACACTATTAATAAGTGAAAATTCAATATTATTGATTTAAGTAATCACTTCATCATTTTTTTATGTCTGATTTATCCAATTATTATAATACTCCATCCACTCCAATTAGGGTTGGACTCGGGTCCGGGTCGGGCCTAGGCCCGGGCGGGCCGGCGGGTCAGAAATGGTGGACCCGGGACCGGCCCGGGTAACCACCGGGTCCGGTCCGGTCCGGGCCGGGCCAGGCCGGGCCGGGCCCATTATAATTTTTTTTTTTTGTTTTCCTCTTCCTAAGTAACCCCCCTCCCACCCCCAACCCCCAAACCACCCCAAATGGCCCAAAATACCCAGCCCAACCCAAAACTTTAAAAAAAATTGCAAAAAAAAAAAATTGTTTTTGGCCCGAACCGGGCCCGGGCCCGGCCGGGTCGGGCCTTGTTTTGGGTGACCCGAGCCCGGACCGGAAAACCCACGGGCCGGGCCTACCCGGACCGGTCACTGACCGGGCCACCGGGTCGGGCCGGGCCGGAACAGTACCGGTCCCGGGCCGGTTCCGGGTCGGGCCACCCGGCCCGAGTCCATACCTAACTCCAATATTATATCCGATTTGGACTATTCACACATTCAAGAAGCGAAAATTGCATAACTCAATGCTTTGCTGAAAAGTGAAAAATGAAATGAAAACAAGTTATTTGCATAAAAAGAAAATGAAATTTATTTTGGAACAAATGAAAAATGAAAGAATGAAAACACTTTTGGAACACAATAGTGCGCTAATTGATCATTTGATCCCAGTAGGCAAATGACTAAATACCAAATTTATGTCGTAAATTAAATATATACGGAGTATACGTATGTTTTAACCCTAAACGTATTTCATGGAATGCAAAAGCCATATTGGCCTTCGTCTGAACTCACTTTACTAATTAAGTCACTATCCATGATAAATGGAGCAACTCCAAATGATCCAGATTTAACTCTCAAATGTTATTAAAATTCACTTATACTTTTAATATTTTTCACGGCTTCACTAAAGTTATCATATATTCATATCACGCTTGTTTGTAACTTCTTTTGGCAAATTACATGAAAATTTAGCTATGTTTTCTGAATTAAAAAAAATCTGTATAAAATTAAATTTGAAATGTGACTTTTTTTTGGAGGGGGTGGATGGGAGTATTTAGTAGAAGATCTCCTCCACAAACCAATACTGCATCTTAGCATGTTCATCTACTCTGACTTTTTGTAATTTCAGAGCTTCCTTTGAAATGTAAAATTAGGCATCATCAACATAAAGACTACACAACAAATTATAGCTCTTGAGACCTAGGCCAAACAGAAATTAGAGCAAAATGTCTTGTTCTTATCCAGAGATAGATAAAGAGAAATGAATTTCCTGATCGATATTTGTTTCTTTCACCAAGGGAGCATCAGCAAGTCCATGAAGATGATCTCTTGATCACAGGCTTCATTTGCTTGTCCTCTTCCAATGATATCATCCCCAAGTGTGAAGGATCTTCCAACAGCATTTTCGCGACCAGATATCCAGCAATAGACCATGTCTGGTGCTTCCTCGCCTGCTTACCTATATATCTCCCAAGTTTCCCATCATAGTATTCTGGCCAGCCATCTTTGAGCAGCCGGCTTTCAGCAAGATCGATAGCCCGTCTTGCAATTTGTGGTCGCCCGGTCTTGATGCATGCAGCAGTTAGCAACCACAGCAGCACTGCATATGAGACCAGAAAAGAGTGTAGCATGTTAGAGAGAGAACTAAAGCTCATGGTATTATCTGCAAACAAAGGTACAGTCCTATGCCATCTCATTTATGGTTTGCAATTTCAGAACATTTTGGCATATTTAAACAGGGTTACAACCTAAAGTAAAATGACTTTTATGGTTGGGTTTACCTTAGAAAATAATACATTCTTGACAGTTTTAAAATTTACAAACATACAATCCATACAGACACACATAAATTCCTTAGTGTTCACATAATACAAACATTACATATAATGAATTTGAACAAATACTCCCTCCTTCCATTTATGTGTCTTACTTTTTGGGTTGTCTGAAAATAAATGTCTCGTCTCCTTTTTGGAAAGAAATATATGGACCACATCATTTCACTTTATTATACTCAAACATCAAACAAAACTTTTACTTTTCCAACCACTGTATTAATAATTGCGCATTTGCGCCGAACCAAAACAAGATACATAAAATGGGACAGAAGAATCATTTATTGAGAATGAACCATTTTTTTCCGCCCTACATTCTATTTCCTTCCAAATTTCCCCTACTTTTTTCTCCCTAATTCTTCCTACTTTTTCCCCCTAATTCTTCCTATTTTTTTCTCCCTAATTCTTCCATTGGCATTTCCCTAATTCCAAACGGACCCTAAAAGAAGACATGTAAAGAAATATGGAAGAACCTGGCCAAGATCCTCCATTGTGGTAACTCCATCTTGTATTTTTTGGATCACATCCGGTAACGATTCTCCATTCATGATTTTCCAGTGCAGGATAAGTTACTTTTAAAGGCATCTCCCCTACCAGCTCATCCCAACGTGCTTCGATAAGATCCATAACAGCAGAAGCTTGCTCTGGAGTGGCAAGGGAAGACAAGATGGCCACACAATTACCCAAGGCAAACCACCTAAAATCCATCATTGCAGGGCTAACATTGGCTACAAAGTAACCACCACGTGTAGGCATAAAGTCAAATACCCAATCCGGGATTGAATCAGGGATGACATTGAACTTATTTACTGCTGTATGAGAATATTCTTCAGTTTTATAACGGTAAATGTCATTTAGCTGTTGGAAGTCAACCCAGAAGTAACTTCTCATGTGGTAACTCAACGCATGTAAACGTTTTACTATTCTCTCAATACATTCTTTTCCTTCAGCATCTTGCTTTAACATTCCCAAAGCACTCCTCAACGCCATAAAGAATAGTGCTTGAATTTCAATAGGATAACCATAGATTCCCTGAAATAACCCCACAAATGGTACTGTGAGATACTGTTTACTTGCCACCTTTTCACTATAAAGTAAGTATCAAAAAAAGAAAAATTGAAAAGAACTTGATAAGTCCCGTTGTCTTTGTATATCAGCCCGACTGAGAATACTCGTATAATATAAACAGTTAAATATAAAGGGCTAAATGCTACTCCATATTAAAAATGCAGAAAGATATTACATGTCCAAACTAAACAAACATTACAAAGTCACTGTTCATTATAGCAGAAGGTTTGTTGATCTAGACAAAACAGTGAACTTTTAAGGGCTTTCCATTAAATAAAATGGCATGAATGAAACAGAAAAGTTAAATTAGTCTCCAAAACAGCACTTCTTGCTTCCACTGAAGTTGACTGGCAACTAGAGGCCAGCGCAAGCTATAAAGTTGCATATGGGTTTTACAACTTGTCCTCACATTCACCATTAAATCCAAATAAAGAAATTAAACTCTCACTTCATTGGCCAAAGCACCTTCTGGTTCGATGGCATCACTCTGACACTCCCAAGGAAAGGGTCATAGGTTCGAAACTCATCCCAATCAAGGATATTGGCATTTAACAGAACATATATACTATAATATGTGAGAAAGTACAAGCAAAAAAGAAACTCTCACTTCACTAAAAACATTACTAAACTCAAAATAAAAAAGGCACTACCCAACATAGAGGTTTTATTGAGATCACAAAACATATGTCATGATCAAGAACAATCCACTGACAGCTATAAAATCCAATTAGGGTGGATAACCTCAACATTATGACCTCAGAGTGTTTCATATTTTCCCATGAAAGCACAAGCTTAACAGTTCTTAATGTATTCAGAATTATAATTCATCTCAATATAACACATTGAAGGTACCCACACAGGACTGTTTTATTTATGTTACTACTGGAAGTAGAGTTTATTTTATTAAACTCATCAAGAGATTCAAAACATCAAGGATTTCTCACCAATGCAAAACCTAAATATTGATTAATTCCCATGGCCAAATAGATCATCCCAAATTTGTAGAACTGAGGAGCCAGCACACTCCCTTTGTTTATACATCATCTAGAAGTAGTTTATTTATATGGATGGGTTCATACGGTTATACCAAGTCTACCATATACACATTAACGTTTATGGTGAAGACGTGAAGTGAGACAGACATCAATAACATCATTTTTTCAGTTAGCAGGTTTGGACAAGAACTAGTTTACCTCAAATTCCAAGATTATCAAAACATTAGATATGGCTATGTAAGGTTTGCAGAAAGAACACAAAATGATACTAGTGAAATCACAATATATATAACATCAAAACATAGCCACATACCATTCTTCTATCAACCATTGAGCATCCATCAGCGCACAGCAAAGTAGGAAAGGTGTCAAATCCTTCTGACAAACACAAAGTCAATATAAGCCTCATCCCCTTTTGGCACTCTGGTGTTTCAGCAAGAGTCAGATCCCCAGTGGATTTTGTATACGCCCGGAGAAGAATAATCCACCAAAACCCAGAGTCAACTGGAGCCACTCTTCCAATTGCGCTCTCACCAAAATCTGCTATTACTGTGTCCGTCTTTCTAACTGGATCATGACGCACTTTAAAACTTGCTGGCATAACCCCTTCCCCCAACTTGAATCTATCTACTCTTTTCTCTGAACCTTGAAGTTGAAGCGTCTTTAGCAGGAAATTCTTAACTATATCCGGCTCACCATTCATTAAAAAGGCCAGTGCACTAGGCACAAAGTCTCGGACAAAAACCTTTTAAAAGAAATCATGATCTTAACAGAGAAACAATTATGGAGCAAGAAAAACTCTGAATTGCAATTTCAAAAGGAATATTAGCCAGGTTTATAGCATCAAAATCATCTAAAGACAAACACACACACGGACAAACCTGGTCGTAATTTAGGACCTCTTCTGAGGCATGGTCAACAGCAGCAATTGTCCCAACTGGTTGGCCTCTAAAATGCACAATTGACCGGCGGAGAGAATCCCAAGCCTCAGCGACTATAGGATGAGGCTCAAACGAGTTACGACTCCATGAATTTGGTGTGTCTAACACCGAGCGTCCAGGTGAGTATGCAGGTTCATAATTATCTAAACCTCTAGCTAGGGCTATGGACAACTCACTCAGAGATCTTTCATCAAATGATCTCTTCCTCTCTATGTTCAGTCTTGGCCTGTCAAGAAGCTTTGATAGATCATAGTCATCAACCTCCGAGATGGAGCACTGGGAGTTTACACTCTTTAGTCCACACTCTTTACCATTAGGACAATCTACATTCATCTTTGGCGTTCAACTCAAATGTAATCTGCAATTTCATAGAGTAATACATTTCGTGTTTACTGTGCAGAAAAATAAATTACCATTTAAAGTAATACTCCATACATTAAACTACTGATAGATTTTTCTAGAATTTGTCAAAGTGGATACTATTCTTTATTTGCTAAAGGTAAAAACTTTAGAATTAAGAACCCATGGACGCGTAAATATTGGCATAGATATGTATGTACATGGTAGTAATTGCAATGTAAATTAAATTGGTAACAGATTACGGACTTCTGACTCTTCTACATGCATTCAGATGACTAACACTAGCAAGAAAATACTTGCTGCGTTTTTTAATAGCAAGACCTTGGACCATATTTAATATCTTTGTACTAACTTATAAAAATAAATGCTATTATGCAAAAGTTTAATAATTAATCTCAATGTATATTTTCACAATATCAACTTTAATATAATTTGTTGGAGCTCAATTCCTGATATTTAATTATCGAAAGTATTTAAAAGTATTGGAAAACAAATGGGAAATAATAAGTGCAAGAAAAAATTACATTTTTAGCCTGGAAAGTTAGTACTGCTTCAAAAAAGACGGCCTATATAACCCCAGAAGTGGAAATAAAATCAAGATCCAGGACGAACAGATCAAATAATGACATAGAATGTCATTTCAAGAAGAATATTTAGAGAGAAGGCAAGCCAGATCTAAAACAAGTATGGACATTGACGGAGAGAGAAACAGAGGGAGACGTACCTGGTTGGGAGCTAGCGAGGCAGACAGAAAGATGGAAGATTTCCCGGCAGCAATGGCTGTCGGAAGCCGGCGAGATCCCCGGGGAAGCTGGAAAGGGAAATAGGGGTATTGAAATGATAGAAGGGGAAAAGAGAACATGGTTTGGGGAGGTATCATTTATAGTACGGAGTATTAAAGATAAGAAAATGGATTTTTGGAGGAATGGAGAAATGGATGAAAAAGAGGCAACTGAGCCAAGCAGTCAAACAAATGCAGTGGACCGCCTAGAATGTGTAAAAGATGCATTTTTCAAAGTTTGACAACTTCCTTGAGTAATTTAACTGTTCCAAAATTACAATATCTTTAGTAAGATAAATTTATAATTTACAATCAGGGCCGGCTAGAGCAATTATGAGGCTCTAGATGATCATGTAGAAATTTTGTTTTAAATATATTTTATTTAACCCAATGATATAAAAAATAGCAATTAAATATAAGTAAATTACATACTCCCTCCGTTTTTGAAACAAGTTTCACCTTTCCTTTTCGGGTAGATTCAAAATTAAGTTCCACTTTCAAACATTTCCTTATTATCTACATCAAAACAATGTCATACAGTGTCAAACAGTATTCAAACAGTGTCAAGCAGTGCACTCCACAGTAAAATCAAATTTATTTTCTTAATATGTGTGAAGTCAAATGTGGAACTTGTTTAGGAATCGGAGGGAGTATAAAATACATCATATACTATTAACACAGTGAGAATATTCTTCGGAATCAGAAGATCAAAGTTGATGAAAAAATACAAAGAGCCCTAGAGGGAGAAGGTTTTGTGCTTACGTACAACATACCGATCGATAGAGCCGGAAAGTGATTTCATGACCAATCATTTCTTAATTTTTTTCTTTGTCTTTGTACATCTTGATTCATATTTTGTTTTCCAATCATCACAAAACATAAAATTTCATTCAAAATAATACTATCACTAAATATAAGTTAATGGTTCATAGATATAAATTTAATTCACTAAATTTAATCAAATATAAAAATTATAAGTATGTTCAATATTTCGATGAATCAAAATAACAAATTACAATTTCAATTATTCAATAAGCATTCAAATATATTTAGAATACTCATTATCCTAAATCCCTAGCCCTACTGCCCTAGCCAACAAAGAAAAAAAAAGGAAAATGGGGCAAATAATCCCACATACTAACCAAAAGGTCAAATAAGTCCTTTTATAAGAGACTTTGTCCGGCCGTCGCCATTTGGGGCAGTTCCCGATGGAATGTTTTGATGAAGTTTTTTGAGAATCTTATTCATTAAGTCTTGTTTACTCATACCAAATTTCAGCTAACAATTAAACGGGGAAGGCATTCAAATAAATTCTTGAAGATAACTGCGCAGTTATCTTCAAGAATTCATTTGAATGTTTTCCCGATTGAATTTTTAGGTGAAATTTGGTATGAGTAAACTAGACATAATGAATAAGATTCTAAAAAAAAATCATCAAAAACTTCCAAAGAATACTATCCCAAATGTTGACGGCCAGACAAAGTTTCCTAAATAATATTAATAAGCTTATTTTATAAATTAGAGGCCCCTAAAATTTGGAGGCCCTAGACACTTGTTTAGGGTAACCCCCTATGGCCGACCCTGTTTACAATTTAATTGTTTCGGTTTCTTTAACATAAATCTTTACTTTTGAATATATCTTTAACATAAATCTTAATTACACATTTAAATTTCCATAATATTGTGTTTAATATAACAAAATAATATTTGATGGAGGATACTAAATACACTTCGATTTTATCCTTTTGGATTTCGAATGTCCGTGTGTACAATAACAACAAAATTAGTAATTGTATATTTCAATTCTTTTCTTAGAGCAACTCCAACAAGCACCAAATCTCACACAAAAATGATGTATTTGCCAAAAAATTGCTCCAACAATCACACCAAATCTTACACCATTACACTATTTTGGTGAAGAGGGGAGAAGTTCACGCCATATATGGTGTACACCAAATCCCACACCAACTTCTTTTCTTAATTTTTTTTATTTAAAAAGTGACCCAAAGTTTTGATAGTTATAGTTTTGACCCATTTTTAAAACAACAAATTAGGATGTTTTTACTTGGACTGAAAATTGATGGTCTGGTCTGGTATGATTTGGTCTGGTCTGGTCTGAACTAATATGGTCATGTCTGATTTCTTTGTATTTTTATAAGAAAATTTTCCACTTTTGGTCCCTCGAGTATTATACCACTTCCGCATTACGTACCTGACTTTCAACTTGTCCACATTTAGTCCCGACGTTTTCTTCCTTTACCATCCGTCGTCCTTCCTACCAAAACTCCGGCCGGTTGAATCATTTATTAAAAAATGGAAGGTTAGTCTAGTAATTTCATAGGCTGGTCTTCACTTCTTCCTCGCCAACTCCATCTGTATCGTAACCACCCCTTCTTTAATACCCCTTACATTATCCAACATTTAAACCTAAATCCCCAACCAACTATTCCGTCGTTTTCCTCCTTCGTAGGCACTCCCTGTTCACTCCAACGACAAACTTTGTAAGCTCGAAGGCCACCATGTATAGCAGCAGTTCAACTACCTCGAAATCAACAGGCCGGTATGAATATGGAGAGTGGATTCCAGTCAAACATTGTCAATGTGGGAAAGATTTGAAGCTTTTGACTACATGGAAACCAGAAAACTGTGGGAGAAGATTTTGGAAATGCGTTGGAATTGAGGTATTAGTAGCATGGTGCAGCTTTAAAATTTTCCATATTTTTTGAGATGATTGATTTTGTAAGTATTTGTATTATGTGATTGCAGTGGTCTGAAGGGTGTGGTTTGATGGACTGGTTTGACCCTCCAATGTGTAAAAGATCCAAGAAAATCATTCCAGGGTTGTTAAGAAAACTGAATGGGTATGAAAACCACATTCACACATTGGAGATGAAGCTGGAAGCAACTGAGAAACCAGAAAACAAAAAAGATAAGATGGAGAAGATAGAGCACAAAAGATACTCTTGCAGCAGACTGGGCGTGTGCATTATAACATTTTTTGTGGTTTTTGCATCCATGTATGCACATAGAAAATAGTCTTGTAGCATGGTTTTTATGTATTCCGAACAATTTTGAGGAATGTTGGTAATATCTTTGAAATGTATTGATGCCAAATGTTCATGTTGATGACATGTATATATGAAGTTCTTTTGCATATTCAATGTTACAACTGTTGTGTTACATTATTAACTGGAAAACATGGTTCACTACAAACACACTTAACTTGAAACATATACTATGGTCACTAAAAGAACTGAATTACAAACATAAACACACTGGAATATCATCCCATTGAAAATAAACATAAACAACATGTCATATCTCCTGGTGGGCAAACAGAATTACAAACATAGACACACTAAAATTACAGTCATAGCAAATGTTTTGTACTTCCAAAACAACCACCATTTACACATAGCAACCTGTAATATCTCCTGGTGGGCAAAAAACATAGTGATAACTACACTGAAGTTCATGGTACAACAAACACTACAATAAAACCTACAGCAAAATGGAAGCCCCTACGGTCCTTTCCAAATGATTGACATCAAAAACTAGCCAAGGTCAATTGGGTCTGCATCATTCCAAAAAAAAAACAGACTTGAAGGTCGTTTTGGATCTGGTAGAATAGGTTGGTCCTTTTTTTATGTCAAGTTTTTTGAGTTTTGGTTTTCCATGTCCTGAGTTCACCCCTTGTGGTCCAAAGCTTATCCTGACCCCATGAGTATTTCTTTGCTCAAACCCATGGGTGTTGTCTTTGTCAACATCATCAATCTTGTTTTCATCAATAGCATCACTCTGGTTTGCAGCACTATCCTGACTTTGGGTTTCAGTCCCTTCTCCGGTCTCTCTTTCAGCATCTTGGCCACTTAGTTTTTCAGCTTCTTGGTCACTCACTTGAGTGAACATTGAAGTATCTTCCACTGAAACAACATTAGGAAACTCAAGTCCTAAAGATGGGAAGTCTTCATATTGCATATTGATATCCATAAGGTTGTCCTCATCTAAAGCAGAAACCTTGGGTGCTCCCACATCCTCATTACCAGCACTTTCACCAACACTTCCTCCACTATGCCTTGGTGCAGATTTTGGTTTTATTTTTCTAGGTTGAAGCTGTGTGTAGAAAAAATATAATGGTTAAAGAAAAATAAGATGAAGTACATATAAGTCCTAAATAAGTAAATGACATAAATAACATAAATCATGAGTGTATTTACCAGTTTCTCTTTGTTATTTGGATCTTCAGGACACCTCTTTGCATTATGGCCTTCTTTTCTACACTTTGAACAATGCATCTTGATGTGTGTCCTTGCTACTCTCACTCCATCATTGCTTAGATCCACAGCTGATTTCCTCCTCAGTTTTTTTGGCCTTCCGGGCTTGGCTGAATACACAGGAGGAAGTGGGGGAATTTTATCAGAAATAGGCCACTCATCTTTGCCTGCCATTGGCTTTATACTGCCAGCATATATCTTCAAATATGATTCTTTTGTGTAACATGGGTGCACGTAAGCATCAACTGGACCTCTTCCATACTTCAACCAAATAGCACACACAGCATGCTTGCATGGTATACCAGTTAAGTCCCACAGCCTGCATGTGCATATTTTCCTCTCTAAATCAACCCCATGCTGTGTACCACTCATTCCAGTAATCTCAAAGTCATTCTCACCACATTGATACCCTATTAAACCTGCAGCTAACTTCTCAATTTCTTGTAACTTTTTCACAATTCTAGGGCACAAATTAGTAGTCCATTTCTCTGCCTTTTGTCTACTAGTAAAAATTTTTGTGACCAGTAGCTTCCTAATGCTTTCAAAACATACTAAAATAGCCTCTTGCCTTGCCTCTAAAATGACCCCATTCAAACACTCACATATATTATTAGTTAACATATCTGTTTTGGAGTGTGTAGAGAAATGAGACTTGGACCATTCTGTAGGATTTTTATCTGCCAGCCAATCAAAAGCCTTTTCATCAATTTCCTTTAACTTGGTCAGACTTGTTTTGAAAGAATTCACTGTACAAGCCCTGGCACAGTCCCAAAGTGCATCTTTCACAGCTTTTCCAGGAAATCCAGCCACCTTCATATTCCCATGTAGATGCCTAACACAGAACCTATGTTCAACCATGGGAAATAATTCATTAACAGCTTGGATGAGGCCTTTTTGCTTGTCAGACATCAATGTGAATACATGTTCATTCTCTTCATTGATATGAGCATCCCTTCTTACTAGGTTCAAAAACCAAGCCCATGAATCCTTTGTTTCCCCCTCAACAATAGCATAGGCCAAAGGAAAGATGCTATTGTTTGCATCTAACCCTACTGCAACTAGCAACTGCCCACCTGTCATTGTTTTAAGATGAGTGCCATCCAAACCTAAAACTGGTCTGCAACTTTTGAACCCTTCTCGAGATGCTTCCCAACACAAGTACATCCTCAAAAACCTTTGTTTCCCACCCTCTTCTATGTTTTCACTGAGTTTTACAGTGCATGTGGTTAGTGGATTAGTCCTTCTTATTTCTTCCACATAACACCAGATCTTGTTAAAGTATGCATCCTCCTCACCTCTGAGCTTTCTTTTGGCAGTGCTCATTGCTCTGTAAGCCTGCCTTGTACTTACATGGAATCGTTCATCAGTACACACCTTTTGTCTGAATTCTTTGGTCTTCCAGTTTGAGTGACTTTTAATCTCCTTCAACCATCTCTTAGCAACTTTGGTTGAGTTAACCATTTTATTGTGATACACCCAAGAGCACCCATCATGCTTATTTTGGTACTCAAGTATCCTCCAAGAGTGAGCATCAACTACCTTTCTGAGATTGATCCTCCATGGACAGTCTAGGTGTTTGCACTTCACAACAACTCTTATCTTGTCATTCTTTACAAACTTCACATCTTTACCAGTCTTGAAAGTGGGTTTTGAACTGCCTTCATGAATTCATGTTTGGTACTGAATGTCATTCCAAGCTTAAAAGATGGGTTTTCCATATCAGTTTGGGCACAAAATGTATGTGACACTTCAAAAATTTAAATAAAAAATAAAAATAATTTTTATTAGTCAGATAAAAATTTTACGAAAATAACATTTTAATAATTAATTGAGTCAGACAAAAATTCAACAGTTGTAAAATTCTAAACAGATAAAATTTCAAAATTTATGACGTTTTAGTCAGATAAAAATATTTCAGTAATAGGAACAACATTTTATTAAACAAGTAAACCAGACAGAAAATTTCCAAGTTTACGACTTTTTAATCAGATAAAAATGACCCGATAATAGAAGTTATGTTTTAGTATAAAATTAATTTTTATATAACTATTTTAGATTGTATAATATACAAAATATAAACTAAATAATTAAAATAATCTTAATACATATATATATATATATATATATATATATATATATATATATATATATATATATATATATATATACGTACGTAGTAATAGTAGTATAACCTAAGTAATATTACATACGTAATATAACTAAACTAAGCTACCTAACCTAAATATAATTACTATACTCCTAAATAAACTACTATAACCTAACTATAATACTATACTCCTACTATAATACATATTCAACTACCTAACCTAATTACAATACTATACGTAATTTGTTGGCCGGCAACTTCAAAAAGAAAAAAAAACGAAATTGATTAAATCCAACTCTAACTCTAACATCTCAGCCTAAAAACCCTCATCTTTCCTTATAAATAATAGGCCAGAACCTGCGTTTTCTTCATCCCAAAATCTGAGCAATACATACATATATACGTATATATATATATAAAATTGCGACCCATCGTTTTAGCCAGAACCAAGCCTTGAAAATACTTCTCAAACCTTCCCCTTCGCGAGACGAATCCAACGGAGAAAGAATCGTGGAAAACGGACGTCGGAGTAGGGAGAACAAGCTCGCCGGAGTATTCGCCGGACTGATTTTGCGGCGGGAAACGGAGCAGGAAAAGAGGGCTGCCACCGCCGCCGCCGGACCATCTCAGACCTCCGCCGTCCCGAGGGAGTGCTCTGTCACCACAGTTCGCTCGTCCGACGCGGTAAGCCCCTCCCCCTTCTTTCTTCCCGTTTTCCGGCGACCTGGGGAAGAAGACAACCCAGCAAATTGCTGGGTCTGTCTTTTGGGCCTTTTCAGGTTGGGCCAGAAAAAATTATAAATGGGCCAGTTCGGCCCAGTTGCAATAAAAATTAAAAATAAAATAGTAAATGAAATAAATAAAATCTGGAAATATATAAATTAAATACCTAGTATAAATATACATATTCGGACCAACCAGAATTGGAAAATAATATTTTTAGCTATTTTTAATTGATTTAATGGTAATTAGGCCAATTTATACACATTTAGTAAATAATTAACTAAATGACGAAAATAATTATGAAATAAATATTGGAGTAAACTAGGATAAATATATGACTAACTAGGACCTTATGGACCATTTATAATTAATAAAAATAAGGTTTAGTATATTTAATTGTAATTAAACCGGTTAATAGATATATGAAATTAAAGGAATAATTATGGGAAATAATCATAAAATAGATATCTGGACAACCTAGGTCTAATATAGACCCAAAATATATTTATGGACGGTTACTAATTTATAAAGTCGATTTTTAGTCTATTTATTTAAATTAGGCCATATAAAACTAGTTAAGTAATTAAATAAGGAAATATTAGTATTAATGGTGAAATAAATAAATCACTGAGGTTGAAAAAAAATATTCTGGACTAAAAATAATGTTTGAATAAAATAAGGAAAATAAATATTTTCGGTTATGTAAATAAAGTAATTAGATAATAATTAGAGAAAATTAATGGTGATTATTGAATAAAAAGTGGATGTTGTAGTCAATAATATTCGGATATTTTACTTAATATTAGAACTCAAATATTGTAATTAATGGCTGAATTAATAAGGTAATTTGATTAATAATAAGTGATTAACCAAAGTTTTAGCGAATAATACAATAAAAGGGGAAAATCGGGTAAAGTAATTACAAATAGAATAAGTGACTAATTTATCATATTTAATTAAAAAGGTGATTATCTAGAGACCAGATTAGAGGAGGATAACTAGGAGCA